TTTTTTTTTTCTTTTTTTGCTTGCAAGATATTTTTATAATAAAAGTGAAAAGTCCTGTGCTGCTCCTGCACATCAGTGTGTCCCTGTGCTCAGGGTGGTCACCTCATCATCTGCCCTGGGGGGGCTGCAAGGTAGGGTGGGGGTCAGCGTGTCCTGCAGCGAGGGGAGGGGGGGGGCTCATCCTGCACAGCCCTGTGAGGAAGGATGAGAGAGGACGAGGAGGAAGATGGCAGCAGCAGCAGGAAGGTTGAGGCTGGGGTGGGGGCTCTGGCAATGGTCCTTCTGGGCAGCATGGGGGAGGGGAGGACAGACCAGGGTCTGGGCCAGCTCTCCCCAGGCAGCCCTGCTGTATCTTTGGGTGCCCCCTTCCACGGGAGGTGAGCTGGAGCCGGGGCGCCCAAACTGGGGTGCAGGCAGGCTGGGGTGCTAGCTGCAGCCTGGGTCGCGGGTGAGCTGAGCGTGCCAGTGCTCTGCAATTACTCCCCCCCCTTTCCCACCCCGGAGCTGGTGCCTCGGCCGTGTCTGGCACGCAAGCTGTGTCTCGCTGGGAGCCTTGGCGTGAGTCTTCCTGTGGCGATGAGCAATGCAGAGGGCGAGGCTACAAAGGAGAAGTTCAAAAGGGAATTTTCTGCCCAGGCTGGGCTTTCTCAGCACTGAGCGGCTGCCGGCGGGCTCACGCTGTCCTCAGAGCGTGAGCGGGAAGGGGACAGCTTGGCCACTGCCCTCGGCATGGGGGCGGGGGAGGTCCCCTGCCAGCACCCCACCTGCACCCGGGCCAGGCTGAGCAGCCCTGCCCTGCCCTTGCTCGGCTAGGGGGGGCCCCTGCCTCCCCCGGCGCATGGCTCCAGGGGCAGCAGCAATGGGGCGCATGGGGTCCCACATCCCATTTGGCACCCATGGTGCGGGGAGGGGGACACCGCTGCTGCTGCCTGCAGGTCTTGCAGCCTGCACCCCAGCCCTGGGCACCCATGGCCCTCCAGTCTTTCCCCCCAGGCCACAGCTTGGGGTGTGTGGTCCCCTCACGCCGAGGGCTTGATCTGCCCCATGGAGCCCTGGACCGCAGACAAAGCTGACGCTCAGCACCCGGCACAGCTTCGGCTTCGTTGGCATCTGCCTTTTATTGGCTGCGGGGGGAGCAGGGGCCAGGGTGTGGGTCTGACGCTGCCTCTGGGGGTTGATCTCGGAAGGGGAAGCCCAGGGGGACCAGGCGGGCGCTGGGACGTGTGGGACACAGCAAACAGCTCGGAGAGGGGAGCTGGGATTGTGCTCAGCTGGCTGCCTGCCCCGGTGACGGTGCTGCGGTGTGAGTTCTGCCCAGCCGCATCTCCCATGGCTGTGCTGGCTGCTTGGGCCATCTCCCAGCCCAGAGGGCCTCATCCTGCCCCAGCTCATCCTTCCCGGTGCTCAGAGACCATTGCCCCGTATAGCAGCTGTGATGGTTTCCAGACCCTGTCGCGCTTCTGTGGCTGCAGGAGGGTGGAGGATGCGTGTCCCCCCCCTCGATTTGCCCCAGGGACCCCAGGGGTTGGACCCGCAGCCGGAGGGGTGGCGCTGTCCCCTTGATGCCTGGGGAATGTAAGGGACGGGCAGGTGAACCAGAGAGGGACAACTGGGGACGGGC